AATAGTATATTCCTTGATACGAGAAAGGATAATAAAGGTGATGTAATTTTTGCTATAAAGAAGATTTATGAAGCTATAACAGCTATAGTCGATGCTCAGTTTCAAGATGAAAGAGTAAGAAACATTATTGATGATAAAAGTAAACAATTTGATCTTATATTGGTTGAAGCAATGGTGCGACCAACATTGGTGTTATCTAATATCTTTAAAGCACCACTGATTCAAATCAGTTCTTTTGGTGGAGTGATAGATACATATGAGAATATGGGTGCTTCTATACATCCGTTTCTCTATCCATCAATAACTAGACAGCGACTCCATAACCTAACACTACTAGAAAAAATAAAGGAATTATACAGCTATTATCAGATTAATAGAATATACAAAAATAATGAAGTAAATGAGAATAAAGTGCTCAGAAAGAATTTTGGAGATCAAGTGCCAACAATTGCTGAGTTGAAAAATAATGTCGATATGTTGTTTATCAATATTAACCCAATCTTTGAAGGCATAAGACCAGTACCTCCATCTGTGATTTATATGGGAGGCTTACATCAAAAGCCAAATAAGGATTTACCAGCGGTAAGTAACTACATAAGTACGAAATTAAAACCGACTTTAAGAGTAGTAATTTAGAAGATTATTTGGCCCAAAAGAGCTCAGTATTTTCCATCCAATTCTTATTTTTAGCATCGGCGTAATTTTCTTATCTTATTTTTCTCTGTAAGATAAAGTCACAACATGTACTTTTTTCTTTTATATTTCCTTGTCACATTTTATGTATTCTAAATTCTATTCTTCGGTTTTATTAATATATTCAAATTAAAAGTCCCGACGAGCATGCCTGAAAAGACTGATGACTATTGATGAAGAGAAAGAGATACGTAAGAATTGTAGGAATTCCATTCCATAGTATATGCCTGCCTCCGTGGGAGACAGACATGAAGTTGTGTATGTATTCATTTATTTAACTGATTTTCATACCTAAATATTTTCTCTATCATTTCCAGGAGCTCCAGTCGTATTTAGACTCTTCAAAAACTGGAGTAATTTACATAAGCTTTGGGTCAAACGTGGATCCTACTCTGCTTCCAGCTGACAGGATTGAAGTTCTCGTGAAGACACTATCTCAGATGCCTTATGATGTTCTATGGAAATGGAACGGTGATGTTCTGCCTGGACGCACGGATAATATTAGGATCGCAAAATGGCTGCCACAGCAGGATTTACTTCGTAAGTACCTTCGAAAGTTTTATGTGACCTGTGTTATTGTATACTTTCTGAAGTTAAAATTTCGTAAACTAGAGTAAGTTGTAGAAGACTTTAGAACAAAATTGGCTTACTTTTTATCTTTTGCCTGTTTTCATAAATTGTCATGAATCAAAATATATTTTAATTATAATGTATTTGTATTTTTATAGGACACCCAAAAATAAAACTTTTCATAACTCAAGCTGGCTTGCAGTCAACTGATGAAGCAATATCAGGTGGAGTACCCATGATAGCTTTCCCTATGTTTGCTGATCAACCGTACAATGCAGAGAAATATGAGTTCTTCAAGATTGGCATAAAGTTGAATTTGGATAAACTCACTGTAGAACAGTTTACTGGTGTCATCAAAACTGTTATTGAGGACAAAAGGTAAGCCAATTATAATGATTAGTTAGTCTTATTGATTCAGTACTTTTACCTAATTCTACGTTATTCTATTTTTCAGTTATAAAAAGAATGTGGAAAAGCTCCGCAGCGTGATGTACGACCAGCCTCAATCTCCACTAGAGCGCGCCGTGTGGTGGACGGAGCACGTACTGCGTCACGGCGGCGCGAGACATCTGCGTGGACCTGCAGCCAACATGTCGTGGGTAGAGTACCTCGAACTGGAATTAGTGTTCACCGTACTATTAGGACTGTTCGTAATTTTATTAGTTTTAGTTTATATTATACGCGTTATTGTTAAAGCTATATTCTCAAGTATTGTATCGACACCTAAAGTTAAAAAGAATTGAAGACTGATTTACTGTTAATAATACTAAATTCATGTATTACATGAAACTATAAATAAAAATTATACAGAAAAAAGCTGTAGTATTATCGTTCCTCTATTACGTAACCCATGGTTAGTTTCGTTGCTTCTTCGTTTTCATTCACATTTATTATTTTCAACATTGTTTGGCCTTTCTTTATGCCCTTTTTTCACATGTAATGTCAAAATTTTTCAAAGCTTTTTAATGGCATTGAAAAAAAAATGGACAAACTGGAACAATCGAAAAAATAGGAGTTATAAGACCATTGGATTTTAACCAGATGCAATTGAGTTTGCAACACGAATCCTTGAGCATCGAGAACATACCATAAGATCACACGTCTGCTTCTTAACCCCTATCCCATACAAAAAATGCATAGCAGAATGTCACTGAGCCACTACGACAACTATCAATCATTATATTTCTGTTTATACACAGAGTAAAATGTATAACGTAATGTTTATGTTCATAAGGTCGACATACCAGATAATAGTTATCAACAAAAATGACGAGTAATGCCATTCTCACACGAGACTTTAAAGTGACAGATAAAAATAAATACAACAATATCACTAGTCATTGTACCAGATCCGTCTACACTCTAGACTTTGAATACATTACGTAACAAGACTACCAGGAATGATAAGAAATTAGCGAATGACAAGGAGTTATTGGTCACTGTTATTATGGAATAAGAGTCAACGGTGTAGGCTGGCAATCGAACTGACGAATCAATTCGTCGCGTGATGTATCATAGACATCGATTTCTGTTAGATTTTGAGGTGTTTCCCCGTTCCAAAAGACTGGGTTTGGTATAATTACTGTTACTTTATGACCTCTTCTTACGAGTTCTTGTGTTATAGGGCGAAACACGACTTGATGGCTGATAGAAGCGACTGGAAACACATCCAATATTCTTGCAGCTTCATTTTGATTTAAAATTAATACGCAACTTGCGATTAGAGCGATGAGAAAATGTGACATTTTGACACGTGTGCACTAGCTCGATATGACCACGGAAATAAACTGATCACCGTAAACATTTCTATTTATGGGTTTTATTGTAAGTTGTTATCAAACAATTACGTTCAAAAATACTTAATGAATAGACAGTATTTTGAGATTAGGCAACAGATAATATTATATGGAGCTTACGTATATTATTATTACTCAGCAGAAAAAAAATATGTTTTTTTTTTCGGCTCAAATCTAGGTGGGCCATTCCATTCCCTTCATACATTGATGCATGTGTTAATATTTTACTTTAATGGCATTTAAAGATATTTGAATCTTTTAAACTGAAACTTATCCCACCTTGGGTGGTGTTGGCCGCTTACAATCATCGTTTCACATCTGTGTGGTCAATTGCTAAAAAATAACGTTTGTAATTTCATAAAATTAATCGGTTCAAAAATGTTGTGGTCCTGACGAATAGTCGTCCACGACGGTAGGGTGGTTTGCGGCGGTAACGAGTTGCCACATAAGAGGAATTGGGCCTCGATTTGTACTTGTGACGCCCCCAGTGTTTCATATGTCCATGAGTGGCGCCGATTGCCAACCATCAGGTGATCCGTCTGCTCGTTTACTGGCTTATTCCATAAAATAACCTACTTAACCTAACCACCCAAATGCCAGCAAAGCACTTCTAACTCCGCTGGTGTTTCAGGTGTCCATGCGGACACCAATTGTTCACGCGACGACGCGAATCGCCCGTTGGTTTGCCAGTCTATACCGTATTATCGTTCAAAGGATTAGTGCGTGGGAAGAAGTATGATTTGGCGACATCTGTAGTTGAAAGGAAAGGAAAGTAAAACATTGAGCCGAAACCAAATAATAATAATGTTTAATGTTTGGAATTATTCTTCTACTATTAAGAATTAAGAACCGATATCCTTAAGAGAGTAGTTTCCTTAATTTTATTTTAATGTCCATCTTGTAGATTAATTTAAAACATTAGGCACGTATTTTTTCTTTTCTCGCAAAATTAAATACTTTCGATGATATATTAGTTTCAAACATCGTGTGACGTCACAGCGTGCTACATTTCGTAGCACGCAGATATCAGGCATGAAGAAAACGTGAACAATTTCATATTATGGTGCAAAACATGTGCAATGTATTTATAAGTGGTCCAGTAAACGCAATGACTGACAGAATTATAATGAACAGTAATTCACTGTTTATCAACATGACCGTTATCAGGCATAATATTGTGATGATTCTGAAGATAGCAAATCATCACACACACTTTGACTATGAAACAAGCTCTGGTGCACGACTTTGTTTGTTAATTTTTCATATCTTTATGCGCTGGCCTACAAGCAGACGCATCACCTCATGACAAGCAATTAGTTAACCTGTTGAAAATCATCCTCTAAAGTTCATACAAGAGTAGTCTCTAAACATCGGAAATAAGGTCTATAATGTAGAGCGGTCACCGGTGACCGCTTTGGGATAAATGGGTGTAGTTACGAGTGCATTAATGGAGGCTCAATCTTCCATTGAGGCTCTGGTAACCTCGCTTATGTGGCAAACGAAACATCCACGAACCACCCTATTTGTCGTCAACGTCTTTTCGACAGCACGACAAAATTTTTAAATTGATTGAATTTTTGAATTCTTTATGATACAGTGGCAAATGACCATACAGAAGTGAAGCGGTAATTGTAAGCGACCAGCACCGCCCAAGGTGGGTTGAGTTTCAGTTTAAAAGATCTAAATATTATTAAAAGCCATAAAAAAAAAATATTAACACGTAAATCATTGTATGAAAGCTAGCCGAAAAAAAAACATCTTCTGCTGAGTAATAATATACGTAAGCTCTACATGATAGTTTGCAGTATCTAAATCTGAATCAAACACTATCTGTTGTCTAATCTCAAATAGTGACAATTCATTAAGTATTCTTGAACGTAATTGTTTCGTAACAATTTTCAACAAAACCCATAAATAGAAATGTTTACGGTGATCAGTTTATTTCCGTGGTCATATCGAGCTAGTGCACACGTGTCAAAATGTCACATTTTCTCATCGCTCTAATCGCAAGTTGCGTATTAATTTTAAATCAAAGTGAAGCTGCAAGAATATTGGGTGTGTTTCCAGTCGCTTCTATTAGCCATCAAGTCGTGTTTCGCCCTATAACACAAGAACTCGTAAGAAGAGGTCATACAGTAACAGTAATTACACCAGATCCAGCTTTCCCGAAAGGGGAAACACCTCAGAATCTAACAGAAATCGATGTCCATGATATATCGTACGATGTCTGGAATGAAAAGTTTATGTCAATTTCGAAGGGAAAGAAGAGCGATTTGTATCAACATATAGAAAGGTATCTGGAATCAATTGTATATATGTTCGATGCTCAACTTCAAGATAAAAATGTAAGAAATCTAATTGAAGATAAAAGTAAACAGTTTGATTTGATATTGCTAGAATCATCAGCAAGACTTGGATTAATATTTTCCCATATTTATAAAGCTCCAGTGATTATGATAAGTTCGTATGGAGGTAGTTTTGACAATTATGACGTAGTTGGTGCACCAAGGCATCCATTCCTCTACCCTATTTGCGTTCGTCAAAGACTTCACAATCTATCTTTATGGGAGAAGATCACCGAACTATACCTTCACCTAAGATCCGAAGAAATGGCTGCAAGTAACTATGCTAAGGAAAATGCTATACTGAGAAAACATTTTGGTTCTAATATCCCCAAGATTGAAGAACTGAATAACAATGTTCACATGCTTTTCTTAAACATTAATCCAGTATTTGAGGGGATTCGACCGGTACCACCAACGGTGGTGTTTATGGGTGGTCTGCATCAGAAGCCAGTAAAAGAGCTACCGAAGGTAAGTCAGTCTTTATTTATTAAGTAACTTTATTGTCTTGCTTTTGCTGTGATTGACGAAGTCATCTTATTCCTGAGTTTAAGTAGCAAAAAAGGTTCCAAATCTGGGGCATATTTTCGTTCAAGTTTATGTAGTTTGATAAAACGTCAACAAATTCCAATTTTTAATCTTTTCAGGACCTCAAAAACTACTTAGACTCATCTAAAAATGGTGTGATATACCTAAGTTTTGGTACAAATGTGGATCCTACGCAACTGCCATCAGACTTCATACAAACTCTCATCAATGCGTTATCAAAATTGCCTTATGACGTGCTATGGAAATGGAATGGAGATGAATTGCCTGGACGGACTGAAAATATCAGAATTTCTAAGTGGTTGCCACAGTCAGATTTACTTAGTAAGTAGTTCGTTTACCTTTTTATTGGTTGTGGTATGAAGCCTAATGATATGGTGGTGGAAATAAAAGTTATGTTTACTCAAGGATCATTGGAGGAAGAGATTTAAAGTTTTGTGAAGCAACAATGTCTAATCTGAATTAAAATTCAAAAAATATGTCTAAGGAAATAGGAACATATATCGAAAACTTTTAATAATTTGTATAATTTACTTGCAGGACATCCAAAAATCAAATTGTTCATTACACAAGGAGGTCTACAGTCAACAGACGAGGCTATAATAGCAGGAGTACCTCTAATAGGTATTCCTATGTTAGGAGATCAATGGTTTAATGTAGAAAAGTACATTTACCACAAAATTGGATTGGGTCTTGACATGGAAACTGTTACTGAGGAAGACTTAATTAATGCCGTTAAAAACATTATCCATGATGAAAGGTAAATATGCAGTTACATTGTATATTATTTTTATGGGATAGCCGGTAAACCATCCGACGGATCACCTGATGGTAAGCTATGGGCGTTGACCATGGACACCCGGTCCACCAGAGGCGGTACAAGTGCGTTATCAGCCTTTTGGAGATTCATCATCATCATCAACAGCCTATAAATGCCCACTGCTGAGAAAGGCCTCTTCTCACACGGAGAAGGTTTGAGCATTAATCACCACGCTTGCTCAATGCGGGTTGGCGATTTCAAACTTATAATTAGAAATTATAAGCCTAGGTTTCCTCACGATGTTTACAAATAACACCTGTGTTGTTTTACGTCGGTTTTCTGTAAGGCCGTCGTATCACTTCGTTTGACTCCATCTTTCTCATGATTAATAATATCTTTTATACAATCCTCTCACACTTTTTCTTTGTAAGATGTTTCGCTTTAAAATCATAATAACACCTTCTATTGTAATCATTCTATAACTATATAATTATTTATTTCAGTTACCGTCAAAACATTATTAAGCTACGCAATGCAATGCATGACCAGCCTCAATCTCCTCTAGAGCGCGCCGTGTGGTGGACGGAGCACGTGCTGCGTCACGGCGGCGCGAGACATCTGCGTGGACCTGCAGCGAACATGTCGTGGGCAGAGTACCTCGAACTAGAATTAGTGTTTACCTTACTATTCACTTTATTAGTTGTAATAACAATATTGATTGTGTCTTTAAGATTTATGTTAAAAGCCTTACATCAACGCGTAAATCAGTACATCAAATTGAAACAAAGCTGATTGTAAATTTAGCTGCTTATTTATGCTTTTGTGGTATTTGTGCGTCCATAATGTTGTTCAAGATTGTAAATAAGAATGTTGTGTGAATAAAGAACTGCCTGCGCAGTTATTGTATCTCTTATTTTGTTTTTATCTTCAGCATTTTTAACGCTTAAGCAATTTTGCACAGGCATTTGTGTTTGGAAGCTGCAACACATTAGTTCTTCCATAGTTTTGGCCTAAGCATTTTTCTACTTTTTATTCTTATTCTCATTTAAGGTCGATGCAATATGGTTTCAAGACCCTTTTCTGGTAATGGTGCGACTCTTTAAAGATGCCTGAATGGTGATTTTTGGGCTAAAGACTAAGCAGTGTAAAGAGGCACTGGGTCTTGCCTTTTCGGATGGCAATCACAAAAATAAAGAAAGCATCGTCATCAATAGCCTATAAGTGGCCACTGCTACCAAAGACCTTTCTCACACGCAGATCTAAACGGAAATCTGTCTACAAATTGGAAAATAACTTAGAGAAAAGCCGACACCTGAGATTTCATATTCAAATTATAACTTTGAATTCGTCAACCGACTCAAGTCGGCATGGTGCGGCTACAGATAAGCCCAATAGGGTTTACGGTTACGGTTTTCCGAGGCTCCGGCTCGAGGAGCAGGAATAGGAATATGATGTGGGTTTTAGTCAGTAAGAGTCTGGCACACCCAAGGCGCAAGAAGCAAATGGGAGATTTTCACTCTCAAAAAAGAATGAAAACCAAGCATAGTGATTAATGCGCATAATAATATTTTCTTCGTGAAAAGAAGAGGTCTTTGTTTAACAGTGGGCACACTATGAGCTGATATTGAACGTTCTGTTCCCTTCTTGTATTATAATATTCGCATCCGCTGGTAACCCTTGGGTCACCCAAGGGTAAGAAGGTAAGGTAAGTCAGGTAAGACTGGCAGAAAATATCTGCGGGATTTAATAAACCATTTTAAGTATATAAATTAAATAAATATTAAGTATCTTTTATTGCCTCGCTAGCCGAGTGGTCGCAAGTGTGGCTGCCGGGCAAGAGGGTATGATTCTCGGGTCGGGCAACGATTTACTTAAAAAAAATTCAGTAGTAACACCATGTCTGAAATTGTGCCCGTTATATGGCAATAGAATTACCCCATATTACATGGGACTCTTAACATAAATAGTGAAAAGTGGGTGTTACATTGCACAGTGGTATTAAGTGCCCTAATGTAAACCTATGCCTACCCCTTGGAGGTTATACGCCGGGGTCGTGCGGTCCATGGCCCTCTACGGCGCCCCTGTTTGGGCGCCTAACCTGTTGCGGCGTCCCGCTCGGACGCTGCTCATGGCACAGAGGGTCATGGCGATCCGAATGATCCGCGGATACCGCACGATCTCTGGGGAGTCGGCGAACCTCCTTGCCGGATTACCGCCGTGGGATCTGGAGGCGAAGGTGCTCGCGCGCGTGCACAGCATGCGCGCGGAGGCACGTCGCCGGGGCGAAACTCCGCTGCCGCGCCAGATAAGTGCGTGGCGGGATGAGCTCCGGCGCGATCTCATGGCGGAATGGCAGCAACGACTGTCGCAACCGAGGGCTGGGCTCGCTGCCATCGCAGCGGTAAGTCCCCTCTTTGAGGAGTGGCTTGAGAGACGCTACGGCGTCCTCACCTACCGCCTGACGCAGGTCCTCACCGGACATGGAAGTTTCGGGAGGTACCTGTGTCTGATGGGGCGGGAGGAAACGCCCGGGTGTCATCACTGCGAGGACCGCCCTGAGGACACGGTGGAACACACGGTGGGAGAATGCCCTTCGTGGGCTGAGCACCGCCGTGTCCTCAGGGAAGTGATCGGCGATGGCGACCTCTCGCGTCCGGGCCTAGTGCAGGCCATGATGCGGAGCGAGGGGGATTGGGATGCCGTCTCCTCCTTTTGCGAAGCAGTCATGCTAGCTAAGGAGGAGGCGGGACGCGTGAGGCAGCGAAGCGCTGCCTCCTCGCAACCCAGCCATCGCGAAGGACACACCGGGCGTCGGGGATCGCGGGACGATCTCCGGCCACCGTAAGCGCGGGCCTGCGGACGGCGAGCATGGGTGGCTCCCCGTCCGACCAGAAACAGACCCGAGCGTACGGCGCGTCGCGTTCCGCGCGCGCCTCAAAGAGCCATCAGACCACCACAGATGGGGCCCAATAGGGCCGATGCCGATTCGGAGTCGCGGAGAACCTAACGGGTAACCGGGGCTCCGGCTCGACGTGCAGGAGAAGGAACGGGGTGGTTTTTAGTCAGTAAGAGTCTGACACTCCCTCCCGCCTCACCCAGGCGGGGGCAGTCATTCGATGATTTTCCCCCCTTAAAAAAAAAAAAAAAATAATGCCTACCCCTTCGGGGACAAAATGGAGTGATAGTGATATTATGTTATGTTACGTATTTTTACTAAAAAACGCTGATTTAATAACTTTACATATTATGACAAAATATCAGGCGATTACTATTGCGATAACTACGGTGCGTTATCATGCATTTGGTCGAATTTTTCCCAAGATAATAAAGTTTCGCTGAGCTCAGGCCAGATTTTAATATAAGAATGAATATATAAGTATTTTTTAAAAACCTTGGAAATATCATCTGCAAAAAGCATAGGGATGAAAAGTAAAAATTCAGATTCTGGCTCTTTTCCATTCCAAACTACACTTTGGAACGAGCACCTAACTTCACTGACAGAATGATATTAATTGACGAACAATTCGATTTTCACATTTAAAAAGTATCTAATTAACAATTAATTGGAATATTTTTTTTCTGTTTATCCATAATGCCGGGGCCACACTAACGTCAACGTCAATGCCAATTATCGCGATATTTACTACGATAATTATTGAGATAATTTTAACGCATTAAAGTGGGTGGCGTCACTTGAAATTACAACGTGAATGCCAAATTATAAAGAGGAAAGATTTGGACCTATTTTTGTATGTTTGTATGTGTAATAGGCTCAAAAAGTACTGGGCCGATTCAAAAAATTCTTTCACCAATAGAATGCTACATTCTTCCAATTTGACATCTAGGCTACATTTCATTTTGAAAAAAATTAGGAATCCTTGTTAAAATTTGAACAATATAACCGAAGGTGAAGAAAAATGAGTCTTAAAATGTCTTTCGTCGAATGCGCTACCGAAACTATTAGCGATAAAACAAAATAATGTACAACAAGTAGTTACCTACAATAGTTGCGTCTACCCCGTGCGAAGCCGGGACGGGCTGCTAACTGAGAAAGATAAACAAATAAAATATCTAGATTTAGCTCACGAGGTTGTCGACATGTGGAATGTGGATTCGGCTATCATTGTGCCGATATCGTTGAGTCGTGTCGGCCAATGAGTTAATCCCTAAAAGCCTCGACATCCATCTCAGGAGGCTGACGTTAGGTGGATGGATCAAGGGCCTGATACAGAAGGCAGTTCTCCTAGAAACGGCACATATCATGAGGAGGTTTCTGTCTATGGAGCCCAAACCACCAGTAGCTTGGACCATGCTCCCGCTACTGATCGGCTCCTATTTTTTATATTTTTAAATATAAAAACAACACTAGCGCCTATTGCATCCGTATTGCGTGAATATTTTATGAACTAAATAGAATTGAGTTTGGGTTTATATTCCGTACTCTGCATGCTATTTAACAGCTACGATTGTGGTTGTATAGTTTTGACATTGGATAATTATTAAGATTTTATTGGATTGAAATTGCATTGACATTGAGATTGGTTTGGTTTCAATTGGTAAGCACCCAGGTCTGATGATCCCCCTTTTCCGATCTTAGGAAACTATACTCTCTATTCCATAAAATCTCATGGGAACGCGGGCAAAGCCGCGAGCAGACGCTAGTGAGACATTAATTAGATATTTCTAGTTATCTGTCATTTTGTTTACAGGAAATTTGATTGTAATGAACCCGATTAATTTGCATTCTTTTATCAATAAAATTATACCTATATTTTGTAATCTATGATTTTGATTACGTCTCCTTTACAATACAACTTTGCTTCCTTGTTCTTTATCGGGCGATGATCATCGTGGAAAGTTTTGAATTGTTATATAAAATAATCGCCGATTCACAACTAATTTTTTTTTATACCACGAACGGTGGCAAAAAAGCATACGGCCCACCTGATGATAAGCGGTAACCGTGGCCCATGTACGGTTGCAACACTTGGGACATTTCATGCGTCTTGCCGACCCTTAAGAAACCTATTCACTCTCCTCTTGAAGAACCCCAAGTATCCCACTGGGAAAACCACGGCAAGAAGTTCATTCCACAATCGGAGGGTCCGTGGGAGAAAATTCCTCTGAAACCGAACTGTACGGGACCATTTGGGCTTCAATGTGTGAGCGTGAACTCCCTGTCGATGGCGAGCGGTGCGATGATAGAAAGTGGCAGTGGGCAGCATATCAAACAATTTAATATAATTTAAATTAATTTATCGTCATTACAAATTTTTTTACTTTCGACATAATATGATATCACATAACATAACATCACGTCTTTTTATCCCCGAAAGGGTAGACAGAGGTGCACATTTCGGCACTTAAACTGTCAAACACCAAGCGGTCACCGGTGACCGCAACCTATTGTTCTATAATTGTGTCTACAAAACCGGTACTCGACGAGTTCGGCATTAACTTAATTGTACAATGTAACACCCACTTTTCATTATTTATGTTATGAGTCCCATGTAATATGATATCACATTACATAGATTGAATCTTTAAAACTTAAACATTATTTAATTTTTACAAAGAATATTAAAAAAATAAAATAGCTATGTACACACGGCCACACATCAATCTATACATAACCAGTTTATCCTGGTGTCGCGTCGCATCATCTTTCCGCACATTTAACGATCAGTTTATATTGGTTATGTCAAGCTCGATGTGTAGCCGTGTAGTGTAAAAAGAGCATAAAAAAATCCGCATCGATTTCAGCTGGGAATGTACCCAGAAGGCTGGCAGCACTGCTACGTTACATGGCAATGCTTAACCTCTAACGGAGAAACACTGCAGCCCTCTGGTCACGAGATACGTCGACCAGGTGTTTTGAAATATTTTAACTAAAGTATCATTACATTTAGTTATTAAAGAATTATAATTATCGTATATTTAAAATAAGCCGTTTATCAACAACGATTAAAATTACAATTTTCATTTAACTCGAGGTTATCATCAGTTTTGCTGATAGTGTTAAGGCTCATTTACACTCGCAAGTCCGGTAACAAGTTTACTTGCAAACTTTTTCAGTAAAATATCTTAGCTAAACGACGATTCTCGGGGCCTTTCTCATAGTGATCCAGCAGTTTTAGAGCATAGCCAATGCGCAAAAACTTAAATTGCATTTTAGTATAGTTATAATTGGTTTAAATTATTATGAACTATTTATTTCAATCAATTACATAGATCATGAAAATACAAACAGAACAAAACATCATCATCATATCAGCCACACGACGTCCACTGCTGGACATAGGCCTCCCCCAATGACTTCCAGATAGGCTGCTTGGAAGCGACCTGCATCCGCAAACGAACAAATGTCGCCGACACAGCCCAGCGGATTAGCAAGTAGAAGTGGCAGTGGGCAGGGCACATAGCGCGGAGAACCAATGGCCGTTGGGGCAGAAAGGTTCTCGAGTGGAGGCCACGTATCGGCAAGCGCAGCGTAGGACGTCCATCCGCAAGGTGGACAGACGATCTTATTAAGGTCGCAGGGAACCGCTGAACAAAAAACATAAAATTATATAAAACAACACGAAAATAATCTCATATCCCAAAACAATAAACAATAATTTCATAATAGTCAGTACCTACATGAACCATACAACAGTGGTTATGTATGTACTAACAGTGAAAACTTTCAGCAAAGGCGCTCAGGATACTGTTGTGGCTGCCCCGCACTCTGTTCACCAATGACGTGCACCGCTTATGCATGATTGTGTTGAAGCTGCTACCCGCGTGGTGGTAGACATATCCGACTCACTACAAAAGCGAGGCAGCCCCAAGAGGGAACACGCTTTACTGTACATTAGGACCTAATAGGGCGCTTACCCTTAAGTAAATGTAATAGAAAGTAGGTAGGTATGTATGATTTGGAAATAAAAGAGGAAAGAAACAATTACAAATATAATTATATATAGTTACGTCTGCCTCGTTGGCCGAATGGTCGCATGGGTGACTGCCGAGCAAGGGCTCTCGGCTTTCATTCGCGGGCAGGCCAAAGTATTACTGAGTTTTAAAAAAAAATCTCAGTAGTAGTACGGAGTCTGGAATTATTGTGTCCGGTACAACATAAACGGTATAGTGAAAAGTAGGTGTTACACTGGACTGTGGTATTAAGTGCCGTATTGTGAAGTACTGCCTTTCCCTTATTCCGTTTGGGGATAGAAAGTTGTGCGTCATTGATGCATACTATGTGCAGAGTGCGTGTGCACCTTTCAGTTTGGCCAGACTCGGTGGCGCATCCTACCTCTAGATACCCTGCACCCGTTTATAATTGAGTCTTATAACACAATTACCCGCGCTTAACCGCTACCTATCAATGTAATGCTTTTACTTGCTTATTCCTATTATCCAATACTACTACTAACCAAATCTCGTGATCTCCGCATAGGTGATTTGCCTCGTGGCAGATCACCTATGCGCTGGACTGATTAAGTCAAATCGGCAACGGGAAACCCAGTGTTAGACTGCGCCAGACAATCCACAAACAGGAAGTGATGGAGGGAGATCGTGAGGAAAGCTGTATCGGCCTCCAACACAAATACGGCCGCCTCAACGTGACCCCGACCGCTCTGCCAAGAGCGAAACGACAGAGAAGAAGAGTGATGAACAATACAGTAAGTTGGTGATTAGTTTAGGAGTGAAACTACATTTTATTCATTAAAAGTGTACCGTCGGTCAATATGATGTCGGGAATATTTGTATGGTGGCGGGTAGACAGTTATATTTATTTAATAAACCAGTTTACTGCTAACTCTCGCCTATCATTGACGCTGCAAAAAGTATGTAGTGTTCCGTCACTAACACACTCACCCATGCAGTCTCGATTTAAAACCGACGTAAAACTTGTTTGATCCGATATGCACACAATCCAAAGGCAATCTTTGCTTAACAAATTGTGCACACAATACTTATCGTTACAAGCAATTATAAAGAAGCACTTGATCAACATAACAATCCCCGCTTACATAAAAGACAAGAATATTGTTATTAATAAACGATAAACTAAATACATCACAGTGTAATGACTCCTTAAAAGTTGTGACTAGACATTACATGTACAAGATGATTATACGATCATGTTCAATAAATTGACGTGAATTGACTCCATATGTTGCTCAATAAATAAGGTAATTGTATAAAATGCATGGTCATGTTGTGAGACAATAAGCGATAACAATATTCAAAGTCATGAGCACGCCACTAAGTGGACGTCTAATAAATACTATCAGACAGTTAGGTGACCGAACAGTTCAACGTCTCGAAGCCACAAACTACCATGTCTCTAGTAAATCTTTTGGCCGTGGTTGCCTGCTTCGCTTTGTCAGTACCATCCAATGATGGTGCCAGAATTCTGGGGTTTTTCCCATTTCCATCTATCAGTCATCAAGTCGTATTCAGACCACTGATGCACGAACTCGCTCGAAGAGGCCACGACGTGACAGTCATCACACCAGATCCAGCCTTTCCTAAAGGAGGAACTCCTGCCAATTTCACCGAGATCGATGTCCACGATGCATCATACCGCCTGTGGCACGAACAATTTGTGGCTACACCAAAAGGCCAGAAAGGGAATTTAGTAAAAGATTTTAATATCATTTACAAGCTGACTGTAAAAATAATAGATACGCAGTTAAAAGACGCAGAAGTGCAAAGATTGCTTAACGATAAAAACCAGACATTTGATCTGGTAATCGTTGAAGCGATGATGAGACCCGCGGTAGTACTTTCGCACATTTACAAAGCTCCAGTGATCCTAATGAGTTCCTTTGGAACGTTCAGTGACAATTACGCAGTTATGGGTGCGCCTATCCATCCGTTTTTGTACCCTTTCACTGTGAGTAGAAGATTGCATAGTACATCTTTATGGGATAAAATTGGACATTTATACGATTACATAATGATTGAAATGATACATAGAAACAACTACATTGAAGAGAATCGAATGCTTCGATCACATTTTGGACCAGACCTCCCTTTAATTGAAGAGATAAACAACAATGTTGCTATGATGTTTTTGAATCTGTACCCAGTTTTTGAAGGAAACCATCCCGTTCCTCCCTCTGTTATACACATGGGTGGTATTCATCAGATTCCTGACAAGCCTCTACCTCAGGTAAGTTAAATTTCACTATATTTGTTTTTATCTTAAAAAATTAAAATGATTTATTATCATTCATTACTACTGAATGCGATTTATTGCTACTGCTATCCGTTAAGAAAACTTAAATATTGCTTAACAGGATTTACAGCCCTTCCAATTCGACTAGATATTTAGGAAATTCTAAAAACGTGATGTAAATAATTGAAAATATTATATAATTGAAGCAAACGGATATTTTCTTTCACCGTTCGTCCATAATTTGTAAATAATCTTAGAAAGTATTTTGGTAGGTTTGCCATTGGTAGGTTTCGGACCCGCACCCTTATGGATGAGACTCAAATGTCCACCACGACATTTATAACACGATCTATTTGCTATGGTATGGTTACACTGTGTCAAAACCACACAACCACGATGCAAGAACTAATTAGTCAAAACCTTTACCACTAGGCCACCAAGATACAGGCTGTGCCTAGTTTGGGGCCCACGGGCACCTCTGCCGTGTTTGCGTTTATGTTTATAAGTGTGGGACAGCCATGCTTCAGCACGAATGGGTTGGCTCGACCGGAGTGATACCACGGCCTTACAGAAAACCGACGTGAAGCAACGCTTGCGTTGTGTTTCGTCGTGTGAGTGAGGTTACCGGAGGCCCAATTACCTTCCCCTTCCCAAATCTCCCCATCCCTGAATCCCCAACTATCCTCACACTCCTAATCCCCAAAAAGCCGGTGACGCACTTGTAGCGCCTCTGGTGTTCCAGGTGTCCATGGGCGACGCCGATTGCTTACCATCAGGTGATCCGTCTGCTCGTTTACCGGCTTATGCCATAAAAAAAATTAAAATGCTGTTCGCTTCCATGTCTATGTAATCTAACTTGTGTATGCCAATAAATAAATTTTAATTCAATTTATCCAAAACAATGTTCTCTTACAGGAGTTAAAATCATACCTAGATTCTTCTAAAAATGGCGTAATTTACGTCAGTTTTGGAACTAACGTGGATCCAGCATTGTTTCCGCCGGAGAAAATTGCAACATTCGTACGAACATTCTCCCGATTGCCTTACGACGTGCTATGGAAGTGGAACAAGGACGAACTGCCGGGAAAAACAGACAATATCAAGATATCTAAGTGGCTTCCACAGTCCGACCTGCTGAGTAAGTCTTGTTGTTGTAGCAAATAGACATTTTGTATAGAATTGTACTGGGTATTGCTGTATCTGAATGTTTTTGATGAAAAATGTAGCAATATTTTTTATATTGTACTTTATAAATAACGCCTTAGGATACATTTATAGTATTTACAGATACAGATTTATAGTATTAAAAATCGTTTTTAATTTCTGCAACAAAAACATTATGCTTCCTAGCTAAAAGTTGGTATTATACCTCTACATACAATTACATTTACATTACATTAGCTTCATCTATTTATTACATAGAAAAGAATAAGAAGGGCTTTTCTGAATTCCGAAATTCTCATTAACAGTAAAGGGTTCATCATCATCAACAGCCTACAAATGCCCACTGCTGTGCAAAGCCACTTCTCATACGGAGAAGGTTAGAACATTAGTCACCACGCTTACTCAATGCGGGTTGACAATTACAAACTTATAATTAGAAATTATAAGCCCAGGTTACCGTTTGTCAGTGGTGTCTAGATAATCTTAGAAAGTACATATAACTCGGAAAAAGTCACATTGGTACTTGCCGTTGGTAGGTTTCGAACCATCCTTATGCATGAGAAGCGAGCGTCTTAAACCTCCGGGCCACCACGACATAATACGATGGGTTATTCCATTGGTTTATGTCTTCACATACTTGTACAAAGTTTAATGATACAGCACGCAATAATTTAATCATTCGACATTTTACAGAACACCCAAAAATCAAAGCATTCATCACACAAGGAGGTCTGCAATCAACAGACGAAGCTATAACTGCAGGAGTACCTCTGATTGGAGTACCAATGTATGGAGACCAATGGTACGATGTAGTCAAATATGAAAAACTAAAAATTGGAGTCAAACTGGAATTAGACACCATTAATGATGAAGATCTGGAAAATGCGATACACAAAGTCATTGATGATGACAGGTTAGTACTATAATCCGTTCTTTAAGTTATTTTATACTAGCTTTTACCCGCGGCTTCGCTCGCGTCACAAAAGGATAAAAAGTAGCCTATGTGACATATAACAATACATACAGCGCCATCTATACCAATACTTTTCCCGAGCGTACGGCGCGTCGCGTTCCGCGCGCGCCTCAAAGAGCCATCAGACCACCACAGATGGGGCCCAATAGGGCCGATGCCGATTCGGAGTCGCGGAGAACCTAACGGGTAACCGGGGCTCCGGCTCGACGTGCAGGAGAAGGAACGGGGTGGTTTTTAGTCAGTAAGAGTCTGACACTCCCTCCCGCCTCACCCAGGCGGGAGACCGCAGGGAAATGGAGCTGCGGAAAATGCGGTAAAAACCGTTAAGAAGGCGATCAAACGCGCTAAGTACGAGGGGGAGGACGTTGCCACAGCCCTAAATAAATTTTTATTTCAATACCGAAACTGTCAACACTCAACCACGGGTGTTTCTCCTGCAGTAGCGTTGCAAGGACGTAGGCTCCGTGGCCGCCTCGACGCACTTCGGCCTGACGTGTCGACTGTTGTGCGCGCCGCTCAAGAGCGGCAGGTAGCCGCGGCGGGCGGAACGCCGCGTATCCTGGCGCCTGCTGACGCAGTGCTGGCGCGCGACTACACCGCGAGAGGGGAAAAATGGGTACCGGGTACCATAGTCGAACAGACTGGACCCGTCTCGTACAAAGTTGACATAGGGCGCGGAGAAAATTTGCGAAGGCATGTTGACCAAATTATGCCTATAGGCAACAAGAATCGCCATTCGTTATCCCGCACTAGCATAGTTTCTAGGGGTAATGATTTAGCATCTGAGCAGGAGACCCCTTCGGTTTGTGAGGAGTCTGAAAACACATTTGAGGACGCGTCGGATGGTGTTGGTGAGAAACTACAAACTACTGGGTCTGAAACAATCTCGAAGTCGAGAACATCGCCACCACCACCCGGTGCGTCTGCCCGTGCTTTGCGAGCATATAATCGGGCTCCTATATAACCTATAGATTAAGATGGTATTAGTGTTTAGTTACTTAGCGTGTAAGAGGATAAGTTTATAGCTTAAGGGGGAGAAATGTACCGTCGGTCAATATGATGTCGGGAATATTTGTATGGTGGCGGGTAGACAGTTATATTTATTTAATAAACCAGTTTACTGCTAACTCTCGCCTATCATTGACGCTGCAAAAAGTATGTAGTGTTCCGTCACTAACACACTCACCCATGCAGTCTCGATTTAAAACCGACGTAAAACTTGTTTGATCCGATATGCACACAATCCAAAGGCAATCTTTGCTTAACAAATTGTGCACACAATACTTATCGTTACAAGCAATTATAAAGAAGCACTTGATCAACATAACAATCCCCGCTTACATAAAAGACAAGAATATTGTTATTAATAAACGATAAACTAAATACATCACAGTGTAATGACTCCTTAAAAGTTGTGACTAGACATTACATGTACAAGATGATTATACGATCATGTTCAATAAATTGACGTGAATTGACTCCATATGTTGCTCAATAAATAAGGTAATTGTATAAAATGCATGGTCATGTTGTGAGACAATAAGCGATAACAATATTCAAAGTCATGAGCACGCCACTAAGTGGACGTCTAATAAATACTATCAGACAGTTAGGTGACCGAACAGTTCAACGTCTCGAAGCCACAAACTACCATGTCTCTAGTAAATCTTTTGGCCGTGGTTGCCTGCTTCGCTTTGTCAGTACCATCCAATGATGGTGCCAGAATTCTGGGGTTTTTCCCATTTCCATCTATCAGTCATCAAGTCGTATTCAGACCACTGATGCACGAACTCGCTCGAAGAGGCCACGACGTGACAGTCATCACACCAGATCCAGCCTTTCCTAAAGGAGGAACTCCTGCCAATTTCACCGAGATCGATGTCCACGATGCATCATACCGCCTGTGGCACGAACAATTTGTGGCTACACCAAAAGGCCAGAAAGGGAATTTAGTAAAAGATTTTAATATCATTTACAAGCTGACTGTAAAAATAATAGATACGCAGTTAAAAGACGCAGAAGTGCAAAGATTGCTTAACGATAAAAACCAGACATTTGATCTGGTAATCGTTGAAGCGATGATGAGACCCGCGGTAGTACTTTCGCACATTTACAAAGCTCCAGTGATCCTAATGAGTTCCTTTGGAACGTTCAGTGACAATTACGCAGTTATGGGTGCGCCTATCCATCCGTTTTTGTACCCTTTCACTGTGAGTAGAAGATTGCATAGTACATCTTTATGGGATAAAATTGGACATTTATACGATTACATAATGATTGAAATGATACATAGAAACAACTACATTGAAGAGAATCGAATGCTTCGATCACATTTTGGACCAGACCTCCCTTTAATTGAAGAGATAAACAACAATGTTGCTATGATGTTTTTGAATCTGTACCCAGTTTTTGAAGGAAACCATCCCGTTCCTCCCTCTGTTATACACATGGGTGGTATTCATCAGATTCCTGACAAGCCTCTACCTCAGGTAAGTTAAATTTCACTATATTTGTTTTTATCTTAAAAAATTAAAATGATTTATTATCATTCATTACTACTGAATGCGATTTATTGCTACTGCTATCCGTTAAGAAAACTTAAATATTGCTTAACAGGATTTACAGCCCTTCCAATTCGACTAGATATTTAGGAAATTCTAAAAACGTGATGTAAATAATTGAAAATATTATATAATTGAAGCAAACGGATATTTTCTTTCACCGTTCGTCCATAATTTGTAAATAATCTTAGAAAGTATTTTGGTAGGTTTGCCATTGGTAGGTTTCGGACCCGCACCCTTATGGATGAGACTCAAATGTCCACCACGACATTTATAACACGATCTATTTGCTATGGTATGGTTACACTGTGTCAAAACCACACAACCACGATGCAAGAACTAATTAGTCAAAACCTTTACCACTAGGCCACCAAGATACAGGCTGTGCCTAGTTTGGGGCCCACGGGCACCTCTGCCGTGTTTGCGTTTATGTTTATAAGTGTGGGACAGCCATGCTTCAGCACGAATGGGTTGGCTCGACCGGAGTGATACCACGGCCTTACAGAAAACCGACGTGAAGCAACGCTTGCGTTGTGTTTCGTCGTGTGAGTGAGGTTACCGGAGGCCCAATTACCTTCCCCTTCCCAAATCTCCCCATCCCTGAATCCCCAACTATCCTCACACTCCTAATCCCCAAAAAGCCGGTGACGCACTTGTAGCGCCTCTGGTGTTCCAGGTGTCCATGGGCGACGCCGATTGCTTACCATCAGGTGATCCGTCTGCTCGTTTACCGGCTTATGCCATAAAAAAAATTAAAATGCTGTTCGCTTCCATGTCTATGTAATCTAACTTGTGTATGCCAATAAATAAATTTTAATTCAATTTATCCAAAACAATGTTCTCTTACAGGAGTTAAAATCATACCTAGATTCTTCTAAAAATGGCGTAATTTACGTCAGTTTTGGAACTAACGTGGATCCAGCATTGTTTCCGCCGGAGAAAATTGCAACATTCGTACGAACATTCTCCCGATTGCCTTACGACGTGCTATGGAAGTGGAACAAGGACGAACTGCCGGGAAAAACAGACAATATCAAGATATCTAAGTGGCTTCCACAGTCCGACCTGCTGAGTAAGTCTTGTTGTTGTAGCAAATAGACATTTTGTATAGAATTGTACTGGGTATTGCTGTATCTGAATGTTTTTGATGAAAAATGTAGCAATATTTTTTATATTGTACTTTATAAATAACGCCTTAGGATACATTTATAGTATTTACAGATACAGATTTATAGTATTAAAAATCGTTTTTAATTTCTGCAACAAAAACATTATGCTTCCTAGCTAAAAGTTGGTATTATACCTCTACATACAATTACATTTACATTACATTAGCTTCATCTATTTATTACATAGAAAAGAATAAGAAGGGCTTTTCTGAATTCCGAAATTCTCATTAACAGTAAAGGGTTCATCATCATCAACAGCCTACAAATGCCCACTGCTGTGCAAAGCCACTTCTCATACGGAGAAGGTTAGAACATTAGTCACCACGCTTACTCAATGCGGGTTGACAATTACAAACTTATAATTAGAAATTATAAGCCCAGGTTACCGTTTGTCAGTGGTGTCTAGATAATCTTAGAAAGTACATATAACTCGGAAAAAGTCACATTGGTACTTGCCGTTGGTAGGTTTCGAACCATCCTTATGCATGAGAAGCGAGCGTCTTAAACCTCCGGGCCACCACGACATAATACGATGGGTTATTCCATTGGTTTATGTCTTCACATACTTGTACAAAGTTTAATGATACAGCACGCAATAATTTAATCATTCGACATTTTACAGAACACCCAAAAATCAAAGCATTCATCACACAAGGAGGTCTGCAATCAACAGACGAAGCTATAACTGCAGGAGTACCTCTGATTGGAGTACCAATGTATGGAGACCAATGGTACGATGTAGTCAAATATGAAAAACTAAAAATTGGAGTCAAACTGGAATTAGACACCATTAATGATGAAGATCTGGAAAATGCGATACACAAAGTCATTGATGATGACAGGTTAGTACTATAATCCGTTCTTTAAGTTATTTTATACTAGCTTTTACCCGCGGCTTCGCTCGCGTCACAAAAGGATAAAAAGTAGCCTATGTGACATATAACAATACATACAGCGCCATCTATACCAATACTTTTCCCGAGCGTACGGCGCGTCGCGTTCCGCGCGCGCCTCAAAGAGCCATCAGACCACCACAGATGGGGCCCAATACGGCCGATGCCGATTCGGAGTCGCGGAGAACCTAACGGGTAACCGGGGCTCCGGCTCGACGTGCAGGAGAAGGAACGGGGTGGTTTTTAGTCAGTAAGAGTCTGACACTCCCTCCCGCCTCACCCAGGCGGGAGCAGTCATTCGATGATTCCTTAAAAAAAAAAAAAATACCAATACTTTTGTTTTCCCTCGGGAATATCAAATTTTTCCGGGATAAAAGGTTCCCTATTATTTAATCCAGACTTCTAACTTTACGTCTGCAAAAATTCAAAGCAATCGGTTTAGTAATTACGGCGTGAAATCGGAACAAACAAACAAACTCACTTTCCAATTTATAATATTATATAGTATATATAGTATATATAGTATATAGTATATAGTAATATTATAGTAATATAGTATATACATATAGTATATAGTAAAGATATTTACCAACTTCATAAAAAGTAGGAGGTTCTCAGTTTGACCTGTATGTATGTATGTATGTTTGTATGTTTGTATGCATGTTTGTGCGCGATTATCTCGCAAATGGCTGAACCGATTTTCACACTTAGGAGAAAGTTTTAGTATAATTATTAACCGACTTCAAGAAGGAGGGGGTTTCACCCACGTTCCTGATAAAAAGTAGCCTATGTATTGATCCAGACCATAACCTATCCCTGTTGCAAATTTTATCCCGATCCCTTCATCAGTTTTGACGTGAAGGACTAACAAATGAACAAACATATAAACTTTAGCATTCATAATATTAGTAGGATGCTATCTATAAAATGGGACCAAAATAGATTTATCGGAAAATTGCTTGTAGAAATATCAGACATGATAATAATGTTTTACTGAAGCTCTTAATGACAGATTTTATCAAGACTAATTATGTAGACTTACATAGCTATTCTCTTATCAAAGTCATTTAGTTGGTTGTCAGTTAGAAATAAGGCTACAGTGATACAGATGACTTGCGAAGAATTCTTTAAGTAATTGCAACGTTAACAACTTTTGAAACAAAGGCTTCAACATTTTATCATATCCGCAAAGACTTTTTTCTTTGTTCTCAATAATAGTAAGCAATCGGTGTCGTCCATGAATACCATACCACGTTACAAGTGCGTTACCGACTTTTTGGAGATCAGGAATTTGAGGGTTTTTTGAGAGTCAGGGATTAGGGAGATTGGGGAGGTGGGGGGGATAACTTGGCCTCCGATAACCTCACTCACACGACGAAACACAACGCAAGTATCATTCCGGTCGAGCCGGCCCATCCATGCCGAAGCATGGCTCTCCCACACTACTGATGTGTGAATCATATGTAATGTAATGAAAAATGTAATTGTGTAACTATCATCAACAGCCTATAAGTGGCCACTGCTGACCAAAGTACTCTTCTCACACGAAGAAGGTTTGAGCATTAATCACCACGCTTGCTCAATGCGGGTTGCTTAGCTTATAATTAGAAATAACTAGTCCAGGTTTCCTCATGATGTTTTCCTTCAGCGTTTGTCAAAAAACAGAATTCAGCAGCAGATGAGATGACGACGATGATGATGATGATAATGATGATTTACTTATTTTATTTATTTATTTATTTATTTAAATAGGTTAGCCAACAATTATTACACTTTTTCATTACTGTTAATAAAAGATATAACACATGTGCGAGTATAATAATCACTTATAGGCTAACACAGCATGCACAATAGTATTAGTTAACAATACATTATTTTTAATTTATGATAAAATAAAATAATATTTATTGAAAAATAATAGTGTAAAAACAAACTGACAGAAAAAATATGTTACAATATTAGGAATTCTAAAAAATCAAAAAAAAAAAATTTTTTTTTTTTTTTTTTTTTTTTTTTTTTTGATAATAATAAATGCTGAATACTTATCCACTTTTCCATTATTTCCAGTTACCGTCGCAATATAAAGAAACTACGCGAGCTGATGACTGATGAACCAATGTCACCACTAGAACGAGTCGTGTGGTGGACGGAGCACGTGCTGCGTCACGGCGGCGCGAGCCATCTGCGTGGACCTGCAGCCAACATGTCGTGGACAGAGTACCTCGAACTAGAGCTAGTACTAACACTTCTCCTAGCTCTGATCATCACCACAGCTACCATCGTTCTGCTAGCAAAGTATATATATGACAAAGTTTTAAGAAAATATGTCGATGTTATTAAAATTAAGCGCGCGTGATGATTGTAGTAATTTAATGGGTTTTTTTGTGATTATTCATAGATATGTACGCTTCATTGACTATAGAAGGATAACAAACGATAAATTATTAATGGAGACTAGATAGAAATGTATTAGATAAAGAGTAAAGTGCTTGTCATTTCGCAGGGGATGATAAGCAAAGGTGGACTCACAAACATACACTTATTATGTGATTAGTTCCTATTGATGTAATGTACGGTGGACTGGTTCCAAGAAAGGGACCAACCAACCAACTTAACCAATATCTGTTATTATAGATCTATAGATACAGAACATAATTTTATTTAAGTACTATCTTAAAGCATAGGCCATCGCTCGACTTAAAATTTGTCTCGACTTACATAATAACATAAGTCACGCTTTCTATCCCCGAAGAGGTATACAGAGCATATAACATATTCCGGAAACAATTTCAGACTCCATGCTACTACAGAGAATTTTTTGTATAATCCTAGTAATATTTTACCCGATCCGGGAATCAAACCCGAGACTCCTTGCCCAGTCGCACTTGCGACCACTCGGCGAACGAGGCAGTCATTCTCTCGATTTATGTTGTAAAAAATCAACTACGCCCGTATAAGTTCCCTCTGTCGTTAGACTTAAAAAAAATCATTACTCTTGATACATAATACGTAAACTCACTTTTATATTAATTGTCCTATTTTTACTGACTAATTTGTCATTTAATTATAGTTTTATATCTAAAACCATCAAAATACACATGATCTCATACGCAAGACAAAATCTTCAACTTCCTATTTATTTCACCTTGACTTATGTAGTTTCAGTGAGTAATTTAAGACAAAAATTGTGTATTTAAATATAATGATTGATAAAATAAATATTTAAAAAATATATAATTCTTGTTGTTTGTACTATCCATTAGTACTTTTTTATTTTACTGGTGTCGTGGTGACCCAGAGATTGAAGACGCCTGCTTCTCATGCACGAGGCTGCGTGTTCGACCCTACCAACTGCATGTACCAATGTGACGTTTTCCGAGTTATATGTACTTTCTAAGATTATACACCACTGACCAACGGTGAAGGAAAACATCGTAATGAAAACTCTGCTTATAATTTCAAATTATAAGTTTGAAATCACCAACCCACATTGAGCAAGCGTAGTGATTAATGCTCTCACCTTCTCCGTGTGAGAAGAGGCTTTTCTCAGCAGTAGGCAGTTATAAGCTGTTGATGATTAGTACTTTTAACCTCTTGTCTGTCGTATATGAGACACAATATAAAACATATTGTGCATCGCATAGATCTGCTTCACAGTAACCTGTGAACCCATGTATTAACATACATACCTCAAATCTAACCACTGCAACTTAAATGAAATAAAATATAGAAAAATATTTAATTTGAACACCGTCACAAAATACAATAACGCGATCAAAATATTAAAAACACATTGGCTGGAGGGCTATAGCTTGAGTCACAGCGCTGATTTTCAGCACTTCCCCGTAGCTATATACAATACACAGAATATTAAAAGTAATAATAATAAGCCCGCAGGGCACCTTGAGGCGAGGTGTCGGGCATTAGCGACCCCGCGGGCTACCATCATCCCGAGTGCTCCAGGTAGAAGTCACTGTTCCTTATTCTCCGGCTTGCCTTAATTGACTGGCTGGAGTGGACGATGACGAGGAACAGGTCTCCCACTTCTGGCTTGCCTTCATTGGCCGTCCAGTCGCGAGAGTAGTGATCCTGTTCGGAGGATAAGAAACTATTCGTAAGTCGCAAGTGGGCCAGGGATACAGGAGGCTTCGGCTGGAGCAGATGATCTATAAGTAGAAAGCAGTGGTTTCTTAACCCTTTAGCCACTCACATTCTTGTTGTCCCTCTGTTGCTATATCTAGCAACCATTCCCGGGGCCCGGTCGGTGGGTTAGGGAGTCTCCGTAGTCAACCCATCCAGAGCCATACCTTTTTTCCATTATCTACAATAGTTCTACACTGTCCTTTGGTGTAGTTCCATAGTGCATACATGGATAGTCGGTTTGTGTGCCCAATACGTTTACATTAAAGTTGTAGGGCCTCTGCGTACGCCTCCCAAATGACCGGGATCCTGTGGTCCCGTGAATGGTAAAAACAGACATATTATTATATATATACAATGTTTAAAAGAGCACCTGCAATAACTGAACAATTTGTATAAAAAAAAAAATTATAGGAAAAAAAGTCGTAACAGATCACTAAACTATATTAACTTCTCTAGTATTGCGGGTTACTGGTGTCCATTGTCGTCAATAATCGCTTACCATCATGTGACCCATCTGCTCTATTTCTGTCAGAAAAAAAATCTCACACTGAAAATACATTTTTACTTAATGAAAAATTTTAAGGTCATAAATAATACAAAAGTAATACTGAATGTAAGATTTTGGTTAAGGTCATTAACTTCATTAATTCTATAAATATCTCCATGTTGCTACGTCCCACCACTGATCTTGATCTTAAATCACATGCTTAAAACACGCCCCTATGTCCAGTACATTGGTCAGTTATTGCCATGAAGCAAAAATACTATTTCATAACATTATGCAATCGATTATCTCTAATTTAAATGTTGAATTGTAACGGTTATTTCAAAGTATTACACAGCATTATTTATTATCTCCTTGCCACTGTCTTGTATAAATAGATCTTTATTCGAATAAATTGATCAGTTCAATTCTCGTCTCCAATCAAGCAGGTCACGTACAATGGCGCTCCCATTGTTCATTGTCACGTGTTTCACTTTGGCGTTCGTACCAAATGAAGCCGCAAGAATTCTCGGAGTGTTCCCAGTACCGTCGATCAGTCACCAAGTGGTATTTCGTTCTATAACCCAAGAACTTGCTCGGAGAGGTCATGAGCTGGTGATCATCACTCCAGACCCAGCCTTTCCAAAAGGCAAAACCCCTGCAAATCTCACAGAAATCGACGTCCATGATGTAGCTTACAAAATGTGGAGAGACGACATTCAAGACATAGCTATAGGAGAAATCCATGGGATATTATCCGAATATGCCATTATAATGAAATTAATGGCTAAAGTGCTCGATGTGGAATTAAAAGAAGAACAAGTACAAAAATTACTGAATGATAAAAGTCAAAAATTTGATTTGATATTAGCCGAAGCCTGTGTTAGATCAGCCGTTGTGTTCTCTCATATTTATAAAGCGCCAGTGATTTTGATTAGTTCGTTTGGACCGTTTCTGGATAATTACAATGTGATGGGTGCTCCATCCCACCCACTGCTGTACGCCAATAATATGAGTCGAAGATTTAATAATTTGACCATGTGGGATAAAATTGTGAAGTTATACTACCGGTATAATATCGAAGTGATGTTAAACAAGAACTACGCTTATGAAAATAATATGCTCAGGTCACACTTTGGACCTGATCTGCCTCCAATTGAAGAAATGTATAATAACGTAGCAATGTTCTTCTTGAATCTCCATCCGATCTTTGAAGGCAACTATCCTGTACCTCCGTCTGTAGTGCACATTGGTGGTATTCATCAGGGTCCTGAAAAAGAATTGCCAAAGGTAAATATTTTGTTTGAGTAATTAATTTTAGATGATATTTAGTTTAGGCAGCCGTAACTAATTTTGAGTGAAAAATTATCACTTTGCCATTTATTAATTATGTGGATTCTTCATATTTTCTTGTCCATTTAAGAATAGGTAAATTTTCTGATAATATAAAATCATAAATCACTTTTACAAAATAATAATTGTAATTGGAGTTCCATATATAGTCTCTGTCTAACCCCATGGGAGACAGGCGTGTAGTTATGTATGTATGAATGTACAAAATATTAATGAATCAAGAATAAAACATGATATAAACTATATTTAATTTCCACACACATTTAATTTCCATAGGACACAGGACACATTTCTTACCCGTTATCATAATTTTCCAGGACCTCCAAAATTACTTGGACTCATCCAAAAATGGTGTGATCTACGTAAGCTTCGGCACAAATGTAGAACCATCAACGTTGCCTGCTCAGAAGCTGAAAGTTCTAGTCGATGTCCTGTCCAGAGTACCCTATGATGTACTCATTAAGTGGAACAAAGATGTCCTGCCTGGCATTGGATCCAACATCAAATTATCTAAGTGGCTGCCTCAGACTGATTTGCTGAGTAAGTATACTGAAAAGCGCTATAAATTGAAAATGTCAAATAATTGATTTTTTATAGAATTTGTCTGCTAAGGACAATGATAAAAATACAAAGATGACTATAAATTCTCTGCAAATACATAGTAAAGGTGCAATCATTCAATCTCTCATTCATAGGTGTTGCATTGTCAAAAACTATTTTGTAATTAATGGTCTTATGAGTGTCATGCAACAGGGAGCTGTGCACCGAGCATAGTTTTAAACTCAATGCTAAGAATTTAAGAAACAAAAACCATAAATAATAATTGTAAATTGTAATTAATTTCAGGACATCCCAAAGTAAAGCTGTTCATAACACAAGGAGGTTTACAATCGACAGACGAAGCTATATTAGCTGGAGTGCCTCTGATTGGTCTTCCAATGTGGGGAGACCAATGGTACAATGTAGAAAGATACGAACGCCTTAGAATTGGGCTCAATCTGGACATCAAGACGCTTACTGAAGAAGTATTCGAGAATGCTATCAATGATGTTATACAAAATGAAAGGTAAGACAAATATTACGACTAATTAAAATGAATTGACTTTTTATTTAAATGAGAATGATACAACTCTTTTAAAGTATTATTTATAAGTTACTTTATTTTCTATTCTTATTTTAAACTCCTCTTCATGATTCTCGTGTATTTCATTAATTTGCGTCGTTTTTGTAAATTCACAAGTTACTGGGGATTAGCATCGCAATACTTCCTTGTTTATTTTTTACCTTCTCCATTGTTTTTCTTCTTCTATGGCATGCAAGCACTATTAAATAATTATGCAGGACTTCTCACTTCTCGTACTAAAATTATTAGCTTGTATGGCCTAAAAATAAAATAGGTGTGATTAGGAAATTACTATCTTATTCATTTCAGTATCCATTCAGACGGTTACACCATCATTAAAACTAAAAATTGATATCATCTATTCCAGCTACCGTCGCAACATTCAAAGACTGAACACCTTAATTCGTGATCAGCCTCAACCTCCTCTAGAGCGAGCCATATGGTGGACGGAGCACGTATTGCGTCACGGCGGCGCGAGCCATCTGCGTGGACCTGCAGCCAACATGTCGTGGGCAGAGTACCTCGAACTAGAATTAGTACTAGTCATAGCTTTAGTATTATTATTGGCCTTAGCCTTATCTATATTAGCTTTCTATTATTTTTATAATAATGTTTTAAGACAGTACTTAATTGCTGGTAAGGTTAAAAGGAGTTAAGTTTTGTAGGAGTTAATCGCCAGTGGATATTTCCGCCTACGTCTTTCTTCGTACTCCTAGCTATAGAATACTAAACTGAGTTATTTGACAAGCAAGAAAGAAAATAAATATTGATTCAGTACAAAAACAGTAGCTATTGTTACAACAAATTATATTGTTTTTAACTAAGACCTATCTGTTGTTAAAAATATTAGTCGGTTCAGTAGACTGTCTAAATGTACAGCTTATATATTGAATTAATCTTAATGTTCTTACCTGAAAACTTAATAATTCGTCTAGCTGTGCTTATGCAAAATGTAGCAAAATAAATCAGATAGACAAGATAGAAAAGGGGCAGCAAACAAACAAACAAATTAACAAACTTAGTTTTACAATTATATTGGTTGAATTTTTTATATTAGGTACTTTTATTGCAATGAAATAAATACGTTTCATTTTACACTGCCATCTGTGAATTGTACCCAGTAGGTATATGAGTTAATTTAGTGGAAAACGTTAGGTTGTTATGCAAATACGTTTTATATTATACTGCCATCTACGAATTGTACCCAGTAGGTATATGAGTGGTTAATTTAGTAGAAAACGTTAGGTTGTTATGTTCTTTTTATTTTTCTAATTTATAAAAATGTTTTAATTCAAACCAAAGTTTAACATAATGTGTTGTTAGTTTTTTATTGTTGAATAAAATTATTTTGTTACTATTCTACTTGATTTTCTTCTTTTTTTATTATTATAATGTAAGGTTACTACCTTACATACATATACCACATTGCATACATATTACATAGGTATGTCGGAACGGTCATTAGTACGAGATTTCGATTTACTACAAAACGAAGGAATAACAACAAAATGAATAAAGATGGCGCGCTTCAAGAGTTAATTGTGACGTCATGTCCGCCTAAGAGTGGGGGAGATTGAGTGACTTTCAACATCGCAGAACAGCAGGCACTTTTGGCTGGGACTCCGAACGAACAACGACGCACTGGGAATGCTGTCGGCCGAATAATGATTGCAATCATCAGAATCAGTGCTGTGAAATTGTCATTGACATTATATTGTTTGAGATTATAACTGTGAATATTATTACAATGTAAGTGGACTAAACTTTGATGTATTTTGACCATTTGTGAACTTTGAAAGGGACTGAGACCTCTGAGTTTGTTTCGGCGTTTCTTCTCAGAATAGTCCGTAGGAAATGCCGACTCTGTGAAATTGTCATTGACATTATATTGTTTGAGATTATAACTGTGAATATTATTACAATGTAAGTGGACTAAACTTTGATGTATTTTGACCATTTGTGAACTTTGAAAGGGACTGAGACCTCTGAGTTTGTTTCGGCGTTTCTTCTCAGAATAGTCCGTAGGAAATGCCGACTCTGTGAAATTGTCATTGACATTATATTGTTTGAGATTATAACTGTGAATATTATTACAATGTAAGTGGACTAAACTTTGATGTATTTTGACCATTTGTGAACTTTGAAAGGGACTGAGACCTCTGAGTTTGTTTCGGCGTTTCTTCTCAGAATAGTCCGTAGGAAATGCCGACTCTGTGAAATTGTCATTGACATTATATTGTTTGAGATTATAACTGTGAATATTATTACAATGTAAGTGGACTAAACTTTGATGTATTTTGACCATTTGTGAACTTTGAAAGGGACTGAGACCTCTGAGTTTGTTTCGGCGTTTCTTCTCAGAATAGTCCGTAGGAAATGCCGACTCTGTGAAATTGTCATTGACATTATATTGTTTGAGATTATAACTGTGAATATTATTACAATGTAAGTGGACTAAACTTTGATGTATTTTGACCATTTGTGAACTTTGAAAGGGACTGAGACCTCTGAGTTTGTTTCGGCGTTTCTTCTCAGAATAGTCCGTAGGAAATGCCGACTCTGTGAAATTGTCATTGACATTATATTGTTTGAGATTATAACTGTGAATATTATTACAATGTAAGTGGACTAAACTTTGATGTATTTTGACCATTTGTGAACTTTGAAAGGGACTGAGACCTCTGAGTTTGTTTCGGCGTTTCTTCTCAGAATAGTCCGTAGGAAATGCCGACTCTGTGAAATTGTCATTGACATTATATTGTTTGAGATTATAACTGTGAATATTATTACAATGTAAGTGGACTAAACTTTGATGTATTTTGACCATTTGTGAACTTTGAAAGGGACTGAGACCTCTGAGTTTGTTTCGGCGTTTCTTCTCAGAATAGTCCGTAGGAAATGCCGACTCTGTGAAATTGTCATTGACATTATATTGTTTGAGATTATAACTGTGAATATTATTACAATGTAAGTGGACTAAACTTTGATGTATTTTGACCATTTGTGAACTTTGAAAGGGACTGAGACCTCTGAGTTTGTTTCGGCGTTTCTTCTCAGAATAGTCCGTAGGAAATGCCGACTCTGTGAAATTGTCATTGACATTATATTGTTTGAGATTATAACTGTGAATATTATTACAATGTAAGTGGACTAAACTTTGATGTATTTTGACCATTTGTGAACTTTGAAAGGGACTGAGACCTCTGAGTTTGTTTCGGCGTTTCTTCTCAGAATAGTCCGTAGGAAATGCCGACTCTGTGAAATTGTCATTGACATTATATTGTTTGAGATTATAACTGTGAATATTATTACAATGTAAGTGGACTAAACTTTGATGTATTTTGACCATTTGTGAACTTTGAAAGGGACTGAGACCTCTGAGTTTGTTTCGGCGTTTCTTCTCAGAATAGTCCGTAGGAAATGCCGACTCTGTGAAATTGTCATTGACATTATATTGTTTGAGATTATAACTGTGAATATTATTACAATGTAAGTGGACTAAACTTTGATGTATTTTGACCATTTGTGAACTTTGAAAGGGACTGAGACCTCTGAGTTTGTTTCGGCGTTTCTTCTCAGAATAGTCCGTAGGAAATGCCGACTCTGTGAAATTGTCATTGACATTATATTGTTTGAGATTATAACTGTGAATATTATTACAATGTAAGTGGACTAAACTTTGATGTATTTTGACCATTTGTGAACTTTGAAAGGGACTGAGACCTCTGAGTTTGTTTCGGCGTTTCTTCTCAGAATAGTCCGTAGGAAATGCCGACTCTGTGAAATTGTCATTGACATTATATTGTTTGAGATTATAACTGTGAATATTATTACAATGTAAGTGGACTAAACTTTGATGTATTTTGACCATTTGTGAACTTTGAAAGGGACTGAGACCTCTGAGTTTGTTTCGGCGTTTCTTCTCAGAATAGTCCGTAGGAAATGCCGACTCTGTGAAATTGTCATTGACATTATATTGTTTGAGATTATAACTGTGAATATTATTACAATGTAAGTGGACTAAACTTTGATGTATTTTGACCATTTGTGAACTTTGAAAGGGACTGAGACCTCTGAGTTTGTTTCGGCGTTTCTTCTCAGAATAGTCCGTAGGAAATGCCGACTCTGTGAAATTGTCATTGACATTATATTGTTTGAGATTATAACTGTGAATATTATTACAATGTAAGTGGACTAAACTTTGATGTATTTTGACCATTTGTAAACTTTGAAAGGGACTGAGACCTCTGAGTTTGTTTCGGCGTTTCTTCTCAGAGTAGTCCGTAGGAAATGCCGACTTAACTAAAATGCGAACAAGTAAAGGTGCACTGTCGAAAGTAAACGTTACTTTATTTACGAAGATTTAATTGTTTTATTACTGCATAAACATACCTCTACCGATATATATGACGAAGAGGGCTCTCGCTTGACATCGCCCATACCATCCTCCGACAGGTAGGTACTCTTACCTTGCCATAAACCTGTCATACTGACCATTACAAAAAGCCATCGTTAAATACACGTAGCAATTTTTAATTAAGATATTTTCAAATGAAACACAGCACTAAAAATTACATAAAGCATTGCCATATAACGTGGCAATGTTGCCAGCCTTCTGGATACTTTCCCCACTGACGTCGATGCGGACGAATTTTTCGATGCTTTATGTAAATAGTTGATTTTGTTTTTCTTATAATTAATTTTAATCTTAAGTTGTATATATTTAATTTAGTAAAATTTAGTTTTAATTTTATTTAAGTAATAGTTTTAATTTAAGTTTTTTATTAAAATTATCCTACTTCATTAATTTATACATTTTCATAATTAAGTAGCTATCTCTGAACTCTGAATTATAACTAGAACTGTCAAAATAGTAGGTATACACTGATGGAATATTTTTCTATATTTTATACAATGCTAGGCATTATTTGCGAAACTTCACAACTAAAGCTTTAAATTATTTGTAAATAATACACTAAAAATTAATATTATGTTTTAAATTTACGTACACATGGATCAGTTTTATTAAAACACAAATAACCTCGGAATAACATACGTTGCTGAATTGTACATCATTGTTCGCAAACCAGTCCGAAAGGAATTGACACAATCATAATGGAATCTTAAACTTGGTTATAAATATTTTGTACTTACGTCATTTTATTGTTCTTCGTAATTAAAACTTCAAGTTTAGATAAAAACCGTGCTAATTATCGAATAACTGGCTTTTCGCCTGCGGCTTTGCTCCCGCAGAATTTAGATTTTTGTCGAGTGTGTTTTGATACCATGGCCTCACAGAAAACCGACGTGAAACAACGCTTGCGTTGTGTTTCGTCGTGTGAGTCCGGTTACCTCAACCGGAGGCCCAATTACCCCATCCCCAGTCTCCCGGATCCCTGAATCATCAATCCTCAAATTCCTTGCCTCGCCTTGGTATTCTAGATAACTATGGGCGACGGCGATAGCTTAAGCGAATTAGCAGGCGAAGCTAGGCTCCAGAGCGTCGTTTAAAAAAAAATCAAAAGAATCGTTTTTTGTTAACCTGCGCGCGAGCGGGTGGCGCCTTTACAACTTTCTGTTTTTTTTTTTATTATTATGTCATACGACATATAATTGAAACTTCATATTTAAACTGTCTAACACCAAGCGTTCACCG